GGCAGGACTGGGGCCCTGTTTGGAAATGTAGATGGGGCATCCTTCCACTCCTTCCTCAAATCTATGGCTTTTGTTCAATTAGGGATATGCAGAAGCTTGGGAAAAATTCCAACATTGCAGCTTGGTTCTGGGAAAGAAGGTATAGCACATTTGGTTTTTGTTTTCTTTCTTGGCAAGAAAACTCATTTTGTTTCTGTTTTTAAGTGGGAAAATATGAACTCTATGTGTCAGCCACAGAACTAGGTGCCAGGAATACAATGGTGAAAAAGGACACCATTGGGGCAAGTGGAGAGAGCACCGGCCCTGGATTCAGGAGGACCTGAGTTCAAATGTGGCCTTAGACACATAACACTTCCTAGCTGTGTGACACTGGGCAAGTCACTTAATCCCATTGCCTAGCAAAAAAAAAAAAAAAGAAAAGAAAGAAAAAGGACACAATCTTGACCTCAAGGTGCTTACAACTGAATAAGCAGTGGGGAAGACAAAATAGAACACATGCATAAGCAATCAATTAAAAAGCATTTATTAGGTGCACTGTGCTAAGCACTAAGGATACAAAGAAATGTAAAAACAGTCCCTGCCCTCAAGGAGCTCACATTCTAATTGGGGAGACATGTAAATTACTAGGTATAGATAGACAAGATACATATATAGAGAGAGTATATGAGGGATAATCTCAGAGGGGAAATATAATGTAGGGAAGGAACACAGAGATTCAAACAAAGTGCCCTAGGGAAATTTAAGAAGGAAAAGATCGTTTTGAAATGGGTGGGGTGAGGGAATAGAAAAAGCTTCGTGGAGAAGGTGAATACTTTAGTGAACAATTTGTTTTGGCTGCTGTGTGGAGGTTGAGGTGTGTTCCAAGCATGGGGGACAACTTGTACAGATGTGTGTAGGTAAGGGGAGGGAAAGAAGAGATCTGGGAAACAGCTAGTAGCCAAATTTGTCTGGAAGAGTGAGTTGTAGTGGATCCGAATTACAGAGGATCTTAAGTGCCAGGTTAAGAAGTTTGTATTTTATCCGACGACAGGGAGCTACTGAAAGCTTTTGAGCATGACCATGATGTAGCCTAACCTGTATAATCAGAACCTTAAACCTTTGGAAAGCTCTTTCATTTCCAGTATCTCATTTGAACCTCACAAAGCCTCTCTGAGGTAGATAGAACAGGATTATCCCCATTTTACCAATGAGGAAACAGAGGTTCAGGAAGTTTGTTAAAGTGAATTACTCAATGTCATATAATTATTGAGAACTGGAACCTGGGATTGTAAGATTTGTAACCGGAAAAGATGAGATTTCATTTCGTCCAGCCCCCTTATGTTTTAGATATGAGGAAGCTGAGGCCCAGAGGAGGGTAGTGACTTAATTATGATCACACAAGAGAGGAAGAACTAGGCTTTGAACTCCAGCCTCTGACTCCAGAGTTACGCTCTGGGCCCCGCGCTCCTGCTATGTCATGCCGTGTTACATAAAACGAACATCTTGACCATTGTTACTTTGTTTTTGCCAACAGTCCATGCCTAACGTGGACTTTGGTCTCTGTACTTAGCTGCGTGTTCCTGGCCTGTTTCTTATTCATCCTCATTTCTGGTAGGGGGAGATGCTCCTTCAAGAAATAGTGCAGAGCCCCCCCCTCTTCTAAATTTCATTAATTCCCTCAGTTCTCTAGCACTTCATCAAATGTAGGGGCAGTGAGGCAGAAGGCTTTTCCTATTATTTCTTCCATAACGGAAGCATCAACGAAGACAAATTTCCATGCTGGCCTCTTTTTTGGGGGTAAAATCTTCCCAAGGGCCTTGTAGACATCAAATACCTGGGAGGGATCAAGCTGTTATTTTTGTCATTTGAAACGCCAGAAAATAGGACCAAGATTCTGAGCTAGCAGCATGGGACACATGTGGCAGGTATCTTAATTGCTCAGGCTTTCATGGGATTACAGATTTAGTGCTAGAAAGATCCTCAGAGGTCATTTACTTCAGCTCTCTTTCGCAGATGAGGAAAGGGAAACCCAGGGAGCTAAATGACTTGCCTATGGGCATCTGTGGCTTAAGAGTCAGAAGTAGGATTTGAACACAAATCATCTGAGCCCTTGTCTCTGCCTCTTACTCTCTGGATGACCACAGACAAGTCACTTAAAATTCCTGGGCCTCCATCTCCTAGTCTGTAAAGTAAAGAAATTGTAGCAGATAGACTCTGGGGCCTCATTCATCTCCACATCTAAGAATTCAGGACCTCATTCTGGTAAGGTTCAGACCTGGAGTAATAGACAGCCCAAGAGAGACTAGCTGTAAGACTCCCACCTTAGCGTTAGCCCTTCTTTGCTGCTGCTTGGATGGCAGCAGAAGACCCTTGACTATCTCTACGACTCCTTCTCCTTCCCCTCTATGGGTAGTGCTCTCCTTGTTGGCCTATGAAATGAGGGTGAGAGTGTAAAGTGACTTCATGAGGCAGGAATGTACCAATATCAGTATGGCTGAACTTCAGCTCCTGGTTACAGCTGCCCTGAATTACTCTGCATGTGTCTATGTGTGATATCCCCAGCAAAATACCAAGAGCCAGAGGGCACTAAAGGAAAAACACATGGAAGGCTGATGCCCACAGAGTAGGTTTGGGTTGAAAGCTCTGGGTCTTATGGTATCTGGACCTACCAGAGTCTCGAAAATACCCAAAATATCTGGAGGAAGTCAGGCTCTGGTCCCTTTCCCTCCTTCTAAAATGTCTGTCTTTATCACTAACTCATTATGTGAAAATTCTTTGTTATCAGAGATGGCTTTCTAGGATGGGTAATGGGAGAAATTGAAGTGATGTAAAAGCAAAAGCAATCAATAAAAATGCATTTTAAAAACTCACTGTTTGACCTTGTGCAAGTCATTTTACTTTTCTATGCCTCAGTTTTCTCATCTGTAAAATGGAGATAATAAGCATACCTCATAGCTGAGGCCAAAAAAGAAATAATAAATGGGAAAGCTCTTTCTAAAAGAGGAAAAAAAATAAAACCAAACGAAAGTAAAGTAGTATTGTATTATTGTGAGGCATTACCCTGACTGGTCTATTTTCCTTAAATAACAATGACAAACTAGGGAAAATCTGTTGAAGTTTTGCCTGTTTTTACCTTGGGCCTTTGGGGCACCCTGATTTTTGCCCTAAAAGAAAGTATGTAAGCTCTCGGATGAGTCGGAACTTTGCCTTATTCATCAAGGTCTTGATATCTACAATCTGTCCCATATGATTTTGCTCTGCCTCTAGGTTCCCTATTGATCTCCTGATTTCTGCTTGCTTGCCTGCCTGGAGTCAGTGAGTGAAAATGAAAAGATCTCTTTCACTTGGTCCCAACATCCTAACCAGTTGGTTCTCAGTTGTTTTGGGGGAGTTCAGAGGCTTCAGTGCTTTTAGATCCCCTTCCTTGTGGCATTAGAGCTTGCAAGGAACATGTAAAAAGTTATGTCTTGAAGACCCAGCGGGCAAAGGCAACAGTGGAAGAAAGAAAGATAGAAAATTAGAGCAAACGGTTGGAGAACAGGCAGACGATAAAGAACCAGGAAGGTACAACTGGGCAAGGTAAGGGTGCTGGTCAACTGCCAGGCACGAAAGAGGACAGGAAAAAGGGGGCAGAGAGACAGAGGCAAGTTTTCTGGCTTAGCCAGGAGCTCCCTTCACAGTCCAGGGGGTCAAGGGGAAAATGTTACACTTAAAATCAAAAGACATGAGTTCAAGTCTTGGCTCTGCCACTTCCCTCTGTGGACACTTTTATTAATGTCTTGAATGATGAAGGCATAGATGGTATGCTTGTTATGTTTGTGGAGGACATAAAAGCAACATATTAACATAGCTAACATTTGGGATGACCAAATGAGGATCTTTGCCTCTCTGCGTCTCAGCTTTCTCCTCTTCAAAATGGGTGTGAAATGCAAACTGGATTAGAACTGAATAATCTTGAAGGCCCCATCCAGCTCTAACATTCTGTGGTTCCAAGAAAACTTTATGCTCCAAATGAGATTACATAAAAAAGACCAATATTTTCAAAGTATTTTGGAGATTTTAAAATCATAGATTTGAAGCCACAAGGGACCTTTAGTCCAACCCCCCATTTTACAGATGAGGGAACTGAGACCCAGAGGGATTAAAGTGAATTGACTGAGGTCATATAGCTAGGATTTGAACTCAGGTTCTCTGACTTCAAATTGAAAACTTTCTAATGGACCATCCATGCTGCCTTTTGAAAAATGCCAGCTCTCATTATTATGTTTATCTTAAAGGAGACACTGGGGAATACAGAAGACTATCTAGACTTCAAGGAGAAAATCATAGGCTCATAGAGCCACTACTAAAGAGGACCTTTGAAATAATCTAGTCTAAGCTTCTTCCCTTATAGGGTGGGCCTATAGAGGTGATGTGACTTGAGCAGGGTCACTCAACTAGTAAGCAGAAAAGCCAAGATTCAAACCCAGGTCCCCAAGACTCCAAATTCACTATAACACCAACATCCCCCAAATATTTCAAATCCAAAGACCATCCTTAGTAGGATTAAATTGGGAAGTGAACAATGGAAAAATCCTATTGTCCCACCTTTCTCGAGAAGCTTTTCCTGATTCCTACTGTTCATGTTACTCTCTTTGATGTCCAAGCTCCTTACCTGTGTCTTGTCATTCCATACTGCTTAATGACAGGGTGTTCCTAATGGTCTACACTTATGTTTGTGTGCATATATGTTTGTCTCCCCACCTTAAGCTCCTATAGGGTAGGAGGCTGTGTTTTATACTTCTCCCATGATGAGTTAGTACAGTGCTGGGCATGAAGAATGTGGTGGTTGGCAAAAGTCCCCTTTGCCAGAATTATTTCATTGATCTAGGGAGTAGGCAGCATTCCTTGTCAATTTTTAGAATCCTTGTAATTCAGCGATGATCATTTTACTTATGTTTACATTAATATTTGTACAGTAAAAATTCAACATCATTGCAATGATATCCTAAAATTATTTTTAAAAAAAAGTCCCAGTCATATTTTAGAAAAAAAGAGTTCATTCCTTCATCCTTCAAAACAAGATACAGTACAATCAAACCACAGTGCACATTTCTGGAAAAACACAAACAACTGTATTTTATATTACTTGCTCCTCTTTAAATAACTAACTTGGATATTGAGGAAAAGAACTGCCAATCACATTAACATATTACAGAGATCAAAATTAATTTATCACACAAAATAAATTAAAACATTAAATATTAACTTTTTCAGTGCAACATATACAGAAGAGAGAGTAACCATGACTAAAAAGCATCAGGCTGGTTAAATAAACTTAATAAAGACAATGATAAGTTGAACATTTTCATGATGGGTTAGTAAAAAGTTACAATGGGTAGTTCTTAGTTCTGAGTGTGGGCATCTATTGGTCTTTCTGTCTGTCTGGATACTATTAGGATCTTTCAGAAAGACTGGCTTCATCAGTTACTTGGAAGAACTATGGTTTGCCTTTGAGAACATTTAAACATTAACATAAGTGCTTACATCATTTCTGCAAATGGAACTTGGGTCTCTCTGGGCCTTTGAATATTCCCAACTCCCTTGGCTAGGCAGGGTGGGAGACATCAAGGCCTGGAAACTTGATGTCTGTCCCTGGCAACATTGTGTGGGTAAATAACAAACAGCCCATACACACACTGAAAACACTGTCCCCAGAAGACTAGCTTATTGATGCAATGCCCTTCCTACAACGGAATATGGAAAGTCTCCCCAAAAGAAGCAGTAAAGACAGACTTCTTAAGCCCAGTGTGGAAGCAGGAAATGTCAGCTATCAAAAGCCTTTTTGGTCCTATATATCTAGATTATCTTTTAGAAAAAGGCTTAAATATTCCAACTCCCTGACTGAGGTCAAATTACAATCCTGTTCCTTGGTCCACGTGCCAAAGAAGGTACCTCTCTAATGGGTCAGGATTCTCATCTGAGTTGAAACACCAAATCAGGCCAATGTATCACTCGGGTTATACCATATTTTATGAGTAGGAAGAAGAAATTTTGCCATTGGTCTGTGCTGGATAATTGGGCTCTGTTTTCCAGGAATCTTTAAGCTTTTTTGCCTGGTAAGTTTTCATTAGCTCCCCAATCACATATTGGGGCTCTATGGACCCAAATATTGATTCTGTTCAACTCATTAGCTAAGTGGCCTTGAGGATTCAACTCAAGAAAACCCTAATGGATAGTTGATCTTCTGAAACTAGTAGTATAGAACCTGTAGAGGTTGGCAGCAGGGCACAGAATGGACAAATTTTAACCCCAATTGGTGGAGAAAATACCAACATAACATTTTTACAGTCAAAGACATAAGTATCATTGCCCAAAATGGTACATTAGCCAAATGCTCATCAGCCATCCCATTGCTAAGTAAGGAATCACCAACTAATGAATCCAAATTGGGGGAGAAAGCTATTAGTTCAGCTCCAGGTTCTTTAAAGAGTCATAGAGAGGAAAGACATCTGAATCCCTCTCCGTGAAAAAGCCTCAAGTTCTTACTCATCTAAATCATTTCTTTACTACAGCCTTTTCAGATATCATCACACAATTTATTAGAGAGTGCTTATTGTAAGCCTAGCACATCTAGGGGACAAATCAAAACCATGGGGTGAATGGACGTTCTATCATGATTCAGGATAAGGGCAATGGCATGACATGAGAATCAAAGTGTTGACTTATTGCAAGCCAGAACACCTTTATGGAGAGCCATGAAAGTTTCACCTGGTTTCACTGCCTGAATGCACATGGCTGACTTTGAATGGCAACTCACACCCGCTATCAGGAAGGCATGCAGATGTTCATCAGAGAACATACAGATAATGGGAATAGAATTACACGCAGGGAAAGGCTACTTACAAGCAAAACCACCAAATCCCACAGACTAGATTTTAGTTAGTCCATCTTAGAAAACAAATACTTCATACCGGTATTTGAAAAAATATTTAAAAAGGAAAATAGAACTCAAATAGCCTCTGCTAAACTATGAGGAGACAAATTTGCCTTAAAATGAAAATGGTGGCCCAAGTTAAAACCACTATTATAAATCTATTTTCAAATTATAACTCAAAAAAATACCTGCACTTTTATGCGTCTCTCCTCTGCACAGAAATCTTAACTTCCTAGCATGTTTCTAGAATGGGGAGGAACCATGGTTTTGAGTAAAGATGCCGTCATTGTTCCTCAGCTCATTACACTCATGGCTCATAGGAAGGCTCAGGGTGCTTGCCTGGAAATTTGAAGCTGATGTTTTATTTTACAATTCTAGGGTAAAGGTAGGGAGAAGGTAACCTAGAGTTGGGAGCTCCTAGTATAGCAAAAGTTCCAACCCCCATCCCCCAAGTTCTGCCTTTAGGACATATATCTTTTGGATCACATGGAGAATTAAGAAGGTTAGGGTAGAGAACAGATTGGATCCTCATCCTCAATTTCAGAGATTCCAAGTTATGCTAATAAAGGAAAAAATCGATGCTCCAAGGTTAAGACATGGGTGATGGTATTATTATTTCAGTTCTTAAAAAAACAAACAGAAGTAAACTGAGATGAGGATGGGAGACTGGAGAGGGAAAGGGAATGAGGGCAAGGGAGGAGTCTGTGATAGGAGAATTTCAAACTACACTCATTTAATAGAGTCCTTTCAACATCTGAGGAGCAGAATGTATTGAAGAGTATGAGTCTCTCATTTTTCAAAGACTAATGAATAAATAGTATCCTTGTATATGGTACAGTAAATTTATATATATGTATATATATCTACTCATTATAATTCTATCTTGAAACTTTAACTAACAAAGTCTAGTGATATACAAGATATCTACCACTGTTCATTCAGGGATGGTAACTGTATCCTAAGCCAAAAGTACCTTGCTGTTTGTCTTCTGAGGAGAAGATCTGGCCTAGAAGGAGAGAGGAGGCTTATCTGACATTTATTTATTTATTTTTTAAAAAAAGTTATCCTTAATGGAAAACAGAAAAATCACTAGAATGTTTTGGTTAATAGCTTGAAAATAAATAGGAAAAGTAAAGGTTCCCAATTTTAAAATAAAGCAACAAACTAACTGAGTTACACATGAAACGTAAGTGACTGGCTCTCCTTTTCCTAGATCTGGCCTGAAATTTCAAGGATGTTCGGCTAACCATCAGTTTCCAAATACAACCTAGAAGATTTCTCCCCATGGGCTGTCAACATGTTATTTTTTTTTTAACAAATGAGTAATTTTCTATACACATAACAGAGCTTACTTCTCCTACACACACAGGCACAGATCTATCTGCCTACTCGGTCTCTTTCCAGAGGGGATGAGCTTTCTGTTTGCTACTTGCCAATTATCCCACTTGGAATAAGACTGAACCCAAGGGATGGCTTAGTGTCTCAAGGCTCAGCTTTAAAATTTCAGTTGTGCATTTTTTTCCTGTGATATGGTCCATGGTCTTCCTCCCCAGAGACTAATGATTAGGATGCTGAAAATGCCTCCCTTGATCAAAAAATGCAAATATATTTTTATGAGCTAAAACTTTACTCTGTAACTAAACAGAAGTAGAAAATCTAAAGAGGTTGTGTGTGTATGTATATGTGTGTGTGTGTGTTTCACACTGATTTAAGAGATGAAAAATGAAATTCTTTCGCTATTTAATAAATTAGAAATTACCACTATTGGAAAAAAAACTATCAATAGAGAGTTTACAATATCTTTCTATTGGTGGACACAGCCAGAGGGCTCAGGGGGTTAAAGTGTTAAAGGTTCTGTAGCTAGAAAAGACAATTCTTCTTAGAGCTTAGAACTTTCCATAATGTAAGCAGTGACCCCATTTTACCCCCTTCCCCCATCAAACAAACGAGACAGAACTGTAACAACTTGAAGGAAACTCATGGTTCCAGGTAGATTCCCAAACACCACAAGGAGGTCATGGGTACAGATCGACAATTTCATCCAAAGACAAAAATGAAGCACAGATGGATGAGGGGGGAAAACAGAGGAAGAACTTCGGATTGAAATTTGTCCCTGGCAGCACACACACACACACACACACACACACACACACACACACACACACTCACATCTACACTGAACTCAAACACCTCCACACCTGTACCCAACTCTGCTACGTAAACAAGAAGCCAACCCTCTTTGCAGTTCCTCCCAGGACCATCCGTCATCCAGTTCCAACAACACAGTCTTAAGGGTTACGTGGTCTGCCGATTTTCATCCTCAGTTCACACCAAGTAACCCCAAGCAAATGGAAGTCTCGACGAGTTCTGAAAGCCCAGCAAATAAGAAAGAGGATGCACAGGAGTTTTTGAGGCAATGCAGGGGAAAAAAAATGTTTGCTAGTATGTCCCCAGCAATACTTGCTTCCATGGAAAATGCACTTCTTTAGAAAAGTCCTTTCTCCTTTATCAGGCAGCAGCAGTCCAACTGGCTGTATCCCTGGAGTCCTTCCTTCAGACCACTGTAAGAAAAGAGAAAGGCTCCATTACTGTGAGCTTGGAGCTCTCCATTCCAGTTGGCATCCCAAATGGGGAGTCATCAGGAAGGAGATGACTTTCAAAACAGAAATTTGGAACAGACATTAAAAAGCTCTCAATTTGTCATCACTATTACACTTGCAGGCTGTTAGGCTTAAGTCCAATTTTTGCTGTGTCCATCTTCAGGAGGTTGTTGAGAGGATAGAGTGAGAATTTACATAAAAATATTTGCAAACCATGCTATGTAACAGCAAGCTATCATGATTATGATTATTATGGAGAGGATGGAGGAGGAAAAATGGGAGTGGAAGAAGGGGAGAAGAGGGAGAGGGGGAAGGGAAGAAGGGGAAAGGGAGAGAAGGAGAAAGAGGAGGAAGAGAAGAAGAAGAAGAAGAAAGAAAGAAAAAGAAGAAGAAAGAAGAAGAAGATGAAGAAGAAGAAGAAGAAGAAGAAGAAGAAGAAGAAGAAGAAGATGAAGAAGAAGAAGAATGAAACTAGGAAAGCAGAAAAACCCTCTTAAATGCTGGACTGAAAAAATAAATTGAACACATAAGAACAAAGGGGCCATCCATCATCTTGGTCTTCCCTTTAAGCCGGTAGTGCTCAGCAGCCAACCTGGTGGCCTCCTAGGCTTGCCAAGTGCTCAACATTCTAAGTTGGATGCCCAACTTATAAGAGCATAGGATTTACATCTGATTACCAGGATACATAGGATTTACATTTAACCTCAATTCAGAGACAGAGAAACAGAGGACCAGGGAATAGAAGCAATCTTCCAAAGTCATAGCTAGCAACCATCAGAATCAGGACTTGACCCCTAACACCAGATCTAGTGTTTCTGACACTATACTACCAGGTCCAAGGTTTCCTGAGGTCTGCTTCCAGTTGTGGGGGTCTCTGCAAGGCCACTACACCCATAGGAAATGAGCTACACCCTCTTTCTTTGTCTATCTTCCAAAGATCCGAGAACTCATAGAAATCAGGTAATGTGTATTTGGTCTTCATCTCCCCTGGATTCATCCTGCCTACTCTTGTGTGTCCATTCCAGTGACTATTTTCTGCTTGGCCACCCACCATCAGAGAGAGGGAGGGAACAGGGCATCGTGGTTCCTGCCTTTGGCAGCACATGGCATCTACAACAGGTTGGAGGTTTGGGGATGGGACATTTCTGCTGCCTACCGTAGTTCACGTTTGGCCTTCCCTGAAAAGCCACATAATTCAGTCATTAGTAAAAAGATTTGGAGGTGGAAAGGAAGGTTAAAGCCTAGAACACTGAATTCCGGAGCTGGAAGGGACTTGAGGATGCACAGAATCTAGATTACTAAGATTGGGAAGAATCTTAGTACATGTTAGTGCTAATGGGACTTTTAGAGCTAAAGGTTAGAGCTTGGATGGCATTTGCATCAACATCCTTATTTTATAGATTTGGAAATGAGGCAGCATCGTATTGTGGAAAAGAGCACTGGACTGAGAGCTAGAGGCCCAGGTTTAAATTCTACTTCTCACTATATGTGTGACTTTAGATAAGGCACTGAACCTCTGATCTCTGTTTCTCATCTTTAAAATGAGGGTGTTGAACTAGATGGCCTTGAAGGTCCCTTCCATCTCTAGATTTAGGAGCCTAGGGTGTTCAGAGAGTGAGAGGCATTTGTTTTCCCAAGGTCACACAGGTAGTAAATGCAGGATCTGAACCCAGATTTTTGGACTCTAACTCTAGTATTCTTCTCACTATAATGTTATTCCTTTCAACAAAACCAAGGAGACGATAGTGGGCACCAAAAAGGAATGGGATACCATGCATTCTAAACAATTGCAATGAACACCCAGTCTTCCTCAAACTAATAGTTTGAGGTCTATATAGGGTGTTGGGTCCAACTGGTGGGGAAACATTTACCTTCACTAGTTCATTCACTTACTCAGTGGGTTGTCCCAGTGGGTTAGTGGAGGTATGTCTATGAGGGGGTAGGGTTTGTATGTCAGTCCTGGGTTTTCTTCCCAGGACAGAAGCATAAGATGGTGGAAAGAGTACTGGCCCTGGAGACAGAAGGCTCAAGAGAGCTAGATTGGAGTTCTGGCTTTGATAGTTCCTAGCTGTGTGACCTTAGAGAAGTCATTCACCTTCTTTGGGATCAATAAAATGAAGGGGAGGGAACACTGAGGTTCCTTCCAGCTTTTAACAGGTTTTTCTGTGACGCCGTCCTACCACAATGGCATGACTTGAGGCATGCCACTTCACAGCCTCAGTTGCCCACACTTTAGACAAAGAGTGAGCATCATTTACCACTCACTTTCCTCTTAATGGTACTGCGAGGATGAAAAAGTCAGCCTTTCCCAAAAGGAATGTGAATATTTCTGCATGTACTATACACACAAGGGAATATACTCATGGGTAACAAATATTCTTCAGCTTTCTCCAACTACCTCCATATTCCCTATTTGAAAATGCTTGCCTTACATACAATAGACTTCACTGTAGTTAAAGCTTAGCCTGACATTCCTTCATTCAGCTCAGCTTACTAGAAGGACATGTGGAGGGAATATGTAAACCACACAGAGGAAAGGGTTTGGGTTGCCAGGCTTCGGAAAATCCCGAGTCTCTGATCTGTCCCTGGGCAAATCTCTCTTCTATTGTTCTGTGATTTAGAAGTAAAATTTCAAAAGCACTTTTAAATTATGTGCTTGCAATTGAATTAGCCAACAGGTCTCTCATCAAAACTTCATTTTCAAAACCTTAGTTGATGTTGGGGAGGACTTTGAGAGTTTATTTTTTTCAGATAAATGGAATTTCAAATTCTAAAATGGTTGGGGTCAGTATTTCAACACTGGTGGGACTGACTCAATGGAAGGTTTGTTGTTATTCAGTCATTTTAGTCATGTCTTACTCTTCATGACCCCAGCTGGGGTTTTCCTTGGTAAAGATACTGGAGTGGTTTGCTATTTCCTTCTTTAGCTCATTTTACTGATGAGGAAACTGAGGTAAACAGGGTTAAGTGACTTGCCCAGGGTCATGCACAGTAAGTATCTGAAGCCAGATTTGAAATCAGGAAGATGAGTCTTCTGGACTTCAGGCCTGGCACCCTATCCACTAAGCTACCTCGCTGCCTAAAATGAAGGACCTAGATTGTAAATCCCTGGAGGACTGGCCTTATTGTCTATTCCTCCCGTCCTTCAGTGGCATTTTAAAATCATCCACAGCTTTCTATTTGCCCACCGATTGAAGGCCAAATTCCTCTCCCTGACATTCAGGGCTCCTCACAATCTAGAACTACGCAAATTTATGTCACATTAGTCCCCTCCATGTACTTTATACTCCAGCCAAAATGGTCTCATGCTTGTGTGGCTAGACTTTTGCTTTTGCTGCTTTCTACACCTGGAATAACCTTCCTCTCCCTTTTAACCTATTGAAATTCTACCCATCCTTTAAAATTCAACTCAAAGGCCATTCAAATGTCACAAAATCCCTGAGCCCCGGTGGACAATAGCTTCTCCCTCCAAACTTCACAGAGAATTTTGTGTGCACCTCTTTAAGGCACTTATATAGCATTGTGACTTAGTTATTTGTGTCAGTGTCTTAGCTTCTTATTACACTGTAAGTTCCTTGAGCGTAGAGACATTTCTAAACTCTGTATCTCCTACAGCAGAGTCGAGTGTTCTGCACGTAGTAGATACTTAATGTTCATTGGCTAACTAATGATACAGGTTCATAAAAGCTGCCAAACACTTTCAACTCTCATCTAAGTAATGCAAAAACAAATCAGGATCAACTTGGTTAAAAAAAAATAGAAGTCAACCTTCCTTCCACTGTCTCACCTCTATTTCCCTTCCAAGAAAGAAGCTGGTTGTTAGAACCTCCAAAGACAATACACCCCCAGGACATCTGTGCTCACCTGTCTCCGAGCGACAACAGGCTGTTCCTCCCTTCAAGAGGTCACTGGGCTTCTCATGCTGACAGACGAAGCCCCGGCACCACTCACAAGGCCTCCTTATCCGACAGCAGCTGGAACACAAGAGGGGCAAGAAGAGAATTGAACACGGACTTAGCTATTAACAGCAGCCAAAAGCCATGTCTGAGCTTGCCACACAAAGGGAATGCCTCGACGTTATCTCCCTCCAGACAGGGGCTGAGAGCACACGGGCATTACGAGAACCTTAACATACCTGTATTTTAGGGCCAGTGGGCACATGGGAGAGGAGATAGAGGCAGATTACAGTTCAAAATAAGGAAAAGTCCCATGTTGCAATGGGTTGCCCACGGAGTTAGAGAGTTCACCTCTTTAAGTAGAGTTAGAATGATCCCTGTCAGAGATGGTGAAGAGGCCATTTTGAGCTGCAAACATGTTGGGCTAGAATGACCCCTGGAGTTTTTTCTAACCCTAAGATTTAGTGACACTTCTGTTCCCTCCAGTTGCAAACACACTTTTGCCAGTTTTCTGGGAGTATTAGAATCCCTTTCTCCTTTCTATAACTGCATTTACAGAATCCTTTGAACTCTTCCCCTGAACCCCGGCCTCCTCTATTTTCCCCAGAGGGCTTCATACCTAGCTGCCTCCCAGACAAGAGAATTGTGTTTATGAATGAATATTCCTAAAGTCCTGTGGATGAAGTCAAAAGACCCTTTTTAAACAGAGCACCACATTAAGAAACAGTTGTTAAGGCTGAGACTAAGCAGCCATCCCGATAGCATCCATGCCATACCTCTTTGAAGATCTGAGGAAGGTGAAATGAATGAAGCTGAGAAAGGAATTTGGAAAGCATGACATAACCCATGGGAAAAACTTGGTTGGGGTGGGAGGTGGAGAGAGGGAAATGAGTCACAGCTTTGTAAACTGGACTCCTAAGAGATCCTGATGACCCAAACTATCAGGTCACTGAAAGCTTAACATATTTGTGGGCATATGTCAGCACCATAGTACTGCAAGGTCAGAGTTACAAATGATAGATACAGGGTCAGCCTACTGCTCCTGTACATTTAAACTGGCTTATTCTTTGAATATGATATGAATGAATGAATGGCTTCCTGGGATCAGCTAGAAAAAGGTACTTATTAGTATGTGAAGTCCTGATGTACAAAGCCCCAGGCTTGAAAAATCAATCAATTGTTACAGAATCTAGAGGTAGAAGAAGGGATATTAGAATTTGCCTGGTTCACAGATTCTTAACCTTTTCCATGTCATGGACCCCCCCTTTGGTAGTCTGGTGAAGCTTATAAACCCCCTTCTCAGAATAATGATTTTAAATATACAAAATAAAACACACAGGATTTTAAAAGAAATCTAGTATATTGAAATAGTTATCAAAATGTATTTCTTAAACTGAATTTATGGATCCCAGGTTAAGAACCCCCTATTCAGTCAAGCCCTCTCATTTAACAGTTGAGGAAGCTGTGACCCAGAGAAGGGAAATAAACGACCTGCCCTAATTCACAATGGCTCTTAGTAGAAGGGTCAGGATTCAAATCCAGCTCCTTTAACTGCTCATAGCATGGCCTGATTAATTAAAGTTGGAAAGAGAATTTCATTCATTGAGCATCAGATTATCTCATTTTACAGATCAGAAAACTGAGTCCCAGAGAAGGAAAGAGAATCCTCCAAAGTCCCAGTGAGCTTAGGGTAGAGGCAAGACCTTCATCCCTCATCTCCTTTCTGGTCCTGTGCTCTTTCCATTACACCACATCTGTCTCTATTGATGATGTGTGAGCAGGATTTACAGGAGCAGCTGAGAGGAAGAAAGAAGAGATGAGGTGCTCAGTGGGAAAATGAAATGGGTTACTAAAGCTAACTCTGGCTAAAAATAAGAACAACTAAGATGAATGGGTACATTAATCCATTTTATCTGAAGAAGATCAGACTATGCTGAAAGTTGTCTGAGAATGTTTCTGTAGTTTATAGAAAAGATTCCTGTGGAACAAAAAGTGTCCATGGCTGAAAGTAAAGACCAGTTTCATGATTCCAATATAGGGTATATAGTCTGTTCTCTATCAATCCATACCTTCTGTATTTAGGGGTTCAGCTCAGATTCTGAGTCACCTGTGAAGTGTTTTTTGGAGATTCTAGTTCCTATTGCTCTCCACCTGAATGTCTGCAGCAATATAGTCTGGGCTACATAGTTATGTTGTTTTTAACCCCATAAGTGTCTTTCTCTTTCTAGGGTGTTTTTCCCCATAGGTTAATTTATTTAGTTACTTTTGTGCCTTCCTTGCTTGCTGAATTTGTTTACTTTTCTTATATTTCTGTTGTCTTAGGTATTTGAAAAGCAAATTATTTGCTCATGTTGGCTTTCTTTGTTGAAATGCTTCAAATGTCACCTTTTTATTGAACACCCATATTTTTTCATGGATAATTAGGTTCAGGTTTGTCGGATATATCACCTTGGATTGCATCTGGAGTGCCTTTGCCCTTTGGAACACATTATTTCATTATCTTCTGTAGTTTCTGGTGGGCACAGAATAATCTTGTATTATTCAAATTTTCTTCCCTTTACATTTGAAAATCTTTCTCTCTTTCTCCAAGTCAGTTGAAGAATTGAACTGTTAAATTTAATGATAACTGTCTTTTAGTTTGTACCACAGGGTTCTTTTCTGGAGGCAATCTGTAGATTCTTTCAATAGGCACTTTGTTTTCTATGTTCAGATATTCTGGCTAGTTTTCATGTAGTATTTCTTGCATTTTGGTGTTCAGCTTTTGTGATCTGTCATGTTTTTTTGGGAGACCTATTACTTTTAAATTGTCTCTACATATGTGTTTTTCTTATATAATGGTCATGTTTTCTTTTAATGTTATTGCTTTTTATTTTCTCTTCTTCCAGACTGTCCTTTATTTCTGTGTATAGCCATTCCCAATCAGGTGTTCTTTCTTTGGTGAGATACTATTAATTTTTTCTATTGTGAGGCCATAAGTTATGCTATCGTGATTCTTATTTCTCTCTTGAACCTTTCAGAAACATCCTGCTGTGTGGTTCCATACTCTTTTGGGAATCCACAGGGTCCTCTGAATATTCATTTTCCTTTGTCCTATGATATTTATTCAGAGATGTTTGGACTCATTTAGATGATCTGGAGGTGATCTTCCCTGTTCTTATTTAATTGTACTCAAGGTTTTTAACTGAGTTATCTTACTCCTGAGATCTTTGGCAATTTCTGTCTTTTCCTGCCCTTATATTCCCCTATCATTAACTTTCTGATGACTTCCCCTTCTATGGCCATTTCTCTGAAGCTGAGAACTCACCTCTTCCCCCAGTGGGTAATTCATGTTTTACTAGGCTCAGTATCTACCTCAAGTGACTTCTTGGGGGGGGGGGGTGGAGCAGAACTGGTCTTAGCTGGGTGCCAATTCCCTTTCTTTCAGGTATGGGGGAGCCCCCCACACACATGTTGGTGCCTTGCTCCAGCTCACTCTGTTCCATAGTTCTCTTGCTGAGAACTGATACACTGCATCAAGGAAACTGCTACCCCAGGCAAAGCAAGCTTCTGTTTTCCTGTATCTCTACCTCCTCTGAACATAATGAGGGAAAGAGGTGAGTTGTGAGTTAAATTCTATTATTTGTTGCCTCGGAATGGTGGAGTGAGGGCAGGGCCAGGGCCAGGGCCAGGGCCAGGGAGGGGGGACTGTGTGCCATCAGACAGTGTAGCAGCAGCAAAGAGACCACCAAGTGGATCCCAGACCACAAGCCTATGGGTTGGGTAGGGTTGTCCCACCACACCATGGAAGCCAGTGGAGGAGGGGGTACTGAGTGAGTTAGGAATTAGCTTTCTCTGCTCTTAATTCATCAGGCTGTTACCTGAGTTAGACCATGGAGACAGCTATAATTCTTGCGCATAATTGTTATTTTGCAAAGGTTTGAGAGATTGGGAGGATCAGAAAAAATGTCTGGTCCTCCATCTTGTTGTTCATGTAACCCAGAAGTCCCGGGCTGTTCACTTACAGAGAGGCCTCCTTGTACAGCGGAAAGAGTCTTGGCCTTGGAATTAGAAGAACTTGGTTTTCATTTCTCATTCTCTTGTTGCCTCAGTGTTGTGACTTCAGGCATGGTACTGAACTTACTAGGTCTTGGTTTTTTTTTTATTTTTAAGCTGAAGGGATGGAATAGCATGACCCCTAGGATCTCTTCCAGCTCTAAAAACATATGCTTCAGTGATCCAAAAAAATTAATAAAACATCTAAAGTATTTTAAGGAGTAACTTAATCTCAGGATGGATCTGATTGACCAGGAAGGAGTCAAGAGGACTTCCAGCTCTGCTACTTATCAACTGTGTGACCTTGGGCAAATCAATTAATGCCTCTGAGCCTCAGTTTTAGCATTTGTAAAACAAATGGGGTGCATTAGGTGATTTATAAAGTCCCTCCCAACTCCAGATCCTATGATTACATATCATACTAAATTGAAACACAGCTACTAAAAAAAAAGTTCATAGAACCTAGTGTAAGAACCCTTGGTCTAACAGATGAATAAAGTTGATACTTACTGTATTAGTACACAGATCCCAATGAGGACAACCAAGGCTACTATGGAAACCACCACCAGGGCAGTGATGGTCTGTTTCTTCTGATTGGCTGCCACCACGGCAAGAAGGTCTGCATGTTCACATCGTGCCCCGACATAGCCAGAATGGCATCTGTGGAGAAAGGCAAAGTCAGCAATGCTCTGTGAGGACGCCTCATCCTTCTTGAGTGGCGATGGGATGGAGAGGCTAAAGACCGAAAGGGAAGCAGAGCAGAAGAAAAAGAGCCCTGGACAGAGAGGTCAGAGGACTGAATACTGGCTCTGTTCTTTATCACCTGTGTGACTCACTTTCCCACAGAGACAGCATCAGCTTTTTTATCTGTAAATTGAGAAGGAGAGGGGAGGAGTTAGTGGTAGTGAATTAGGCAATCTTTAAGGGCTCTTCTACATCTAAATCCTGCAAGTTTATGAGTGAAGGCTCACGAGTGACCTTCTAGAGTGACCTTCTCAGTTCTGTTACATGACCCAGGGCAGAGATCTTACCTCTAAATGCACGCAGATGGCCATCATAATTCAAACACATCTACTTCACAAAACAACTGGAAGAATTCATTAGGGATAACTAATTTTATGATTCTAGGATGAAAGGGGCTCCTCAAGGATTATGCTGCTCCTTGGCCAAGCATTGCAAATGAAGAAAAAAGACTAAGATGCCGAAGATGAAAGTGCACTTTAATATTCCATGAGAGCCAGGTACTTTTTTTTTTGAATGAAGAATTTATGAAGAAGATGAGATAAAATAATTGTGCTACCTTCAATCAAACCTGGAGTGACAGACGTGAATTAATTTTATTTTCTCTTAAACCACACCTTCAAAAACTAATCCAAACCACAATGGATTCAAGAGGTGGTGTACAATAAGTGCTGGACCTGGAGTTACTCCAGAAGACCTAGTTTTGAATCTCATCCAATGTACTTACTAGCTGTGTGACCTTGGGCAAGTCACCCTTTCAGTTCTTGGGACCTCAGTTTTCACTTCTCTAAAATGAGGGCTTCTGGACTCAATAACCTCTAAGCTCCCTTCCAGATATAAAAATCTATGATACTATGCTCTAAGATCAACCCAGAGTGATTGTCACTATATAATAACATTCTGAATGACCTTGGGCATGTCCTTGGATGTACGTGGAAGGAGTGGTGCATGTGGAGCTGGTGTACCTAGGTTCAATTCTGGCTTTGCTATTTACTCCCTGTGGAGTTCTGGACAGGTCACTCTCACTGAGCCTCAGTTTCCTCATCTGTAAGAGGAGGGGGGTTGGACTAGATGGCTTTTAGGGACTATCTCAGCTTTAAATTTATGATCCTTGAATTTTTTTTTTTTGGCTAGGCAAGGGGGTTAAGTGGCTTGCCCAGGGTCACCCAGCTAGTAAGTGTTATGTGTCTGAGGCTGGATTTGAACTCAGGTCCTCCTGAATCCAGGGCCAGTGCTCTACCCACTGCACCACCTAGCTACCCTGATCCTTGAATTTCTGAACCTCAGTTTCCTCCTTTGTAAAATAAGGGAGCTTGGTTAGTCTCTAAGATCCATTCCCAGTTTTAATATTCAATGACTCTAGATTTTTAAATTCCTTTACAGTGATAATTTAAGTAGCAGAAGTCAGTTTCTTGGGTATGAAAGTCTCCCCCACCTACTCTGACAGTATAAAAATCAACAAAGGGACTTATTAAGGAAGCCTCCAGCCCTAACTTGCCACTCCAGGATTATGCACTTTCTTACCCAAACAAAAATCTCCCACCTTGGACATTTTCCATCCAGACAATGTTTATTTCTATCCAGAAGTCCCTTAATGAACACACAAGCACATATACAACTCTGTATATATCTATTGCACTAGGGGATTTTTCCTTGAAAATTCTGTAAAAGCATGACCTGGCTAAGAAAGTGAACACTGTTTGGCACATTTATGACATGCCAACTATTCTGTCCACTATATACATTCACACCCTTTCCCCGATGTTCTTTCTTTTTAAACTCAGGATAAAAACATCATTCAACTTTTTCTTTTCCTTATTTATGGCAATAAAATGACAGTTACTTGGTAGTCACTACTTCTATACATAAAGATAGCTCCTTTACTTTCTCATTTTAGATTTTAAATCTTTTAAGGAAACAGGCAAGAGGATGAGGTGTCATGAATGAAACCTTTAAGCAAGGAAGAATTTTGATTCAACCTCTAGCCTGGAAAAACAAGATTTCTGAGTATGCCACAAAGGCCCTTGGGTCATTTATATATTTGAGGAACCAATTTTCCTATGGAAAGAGATGATTGCAGGAAGTCCAGAGGGCTGTGGAACATGTCGACGCCTAAGGAAACTGGTAAGATTCAAACCTTTAACATCACGGCCGTGTTAAAGCGGGGATTGGTTCATGAATACACAAAAGTGCTTGTGTTTATTTGGGGCTAAATTTCAAAACTTAAAAAAGCTTCAGATCCCAAGATATAAGTTTTGATCGCCTTTTTATGAACAATGAGTCACTGAGACCCAGAGAGGGGAAGGAGTAGTGGGAGAGTGTGACATACTCAGATCTGAGCTTTAGGAAGATCACTTTGGCAGCTGACTGGAAAATATACTAGAGTGGAGGTGTGGGGGTGGAAGAATAAGCATTTATTAAGCAGTTAGGTGGACACATAGTGCATAGAGCACTGGGCTTGGAATCAGGAAGACTCATCTTCCCCAGTTCAAATCTAGCCTGGGCAAGTCACTTAACTCTGTTGGCCTCAGTTTCCTCATCTGTCAAATCAGCTAGAGAAGGAAATGGCAAACCACTCCTGCATCTAAGCCAAGAAAACCCCAGAAGGAGGCCATGAAGAGTCAGATACAACTGAGCAACAATGTGCTCCTACTTATTGTAACATATGAAAGAAGCTAAGCAAATTTTTTTGTGGATGGAAGGCATGAGGAGTAAATTCTCCCACTTAGGCAAGACTTCCTCAGGTCAAACCTGGGTTATTATTAGCACAAGTCATAGGCTCATGAGATCATAGGGTTTAGTACTGAAAGGAACCTTAAAGACCTTCTAGTCCAACTCCTTATTTTCAAAAGAAAAGGGGTGAGGAGTCTAACCAAGCTCACGCCAGCAGTAAATTGAGTGTGGAATGTAAGCTCCTTGAGGGCAGGGGCTGTTTGTTTCATTGTTGTCTTTTCTATCCCTAGCATCCAGTGCAATTCCCAGCTGTGGGTAACTGTTTAGTAAGTGCTAGTTGAATTAAAAATGAACTTAATTAAATAGCAAAAACCAGGATACAAGCCCAGGCTCTTTTGACTCAAAATTTAGTGTTCTTTCCATTTCATCATAGGCCTACAGCTATGTGGGACAAAGTCTCGGCTTCCCTTACAAGTTTGTAAAAAATGGGGCTCACCTGATTTCCATCAGAGGAAGGTTAATGAGAATTAACTGATCCACATAAAGAGCCTAGTGTAGCTGGATGAAAGGCAAAACAGTCTAAGCATTCCAGCCAGGTGTACGCTTTCCCCCAGGTCCTCCCCTCCCCCTATGTCCCCACCTTCTTCCTTTTTCTTCCCCCCTGCAGTTGATGATTAAACTCTAAGACCACAAGGATGCTTTGGTGTTTCCCTAGGAGCAAACATTGCGGCTGGGTGTATTTCCATTTAAAAAAAGAAGAATTATAATGTCTATGAAGTAAGCAGGGCCCCTCCAGGCTCCCAGGCAAACTGCCAACACAGGCTGCACAGTGGGGGAGTTTGGCCCCTGGTCAGAAAACCCAGTTGGAGCTTCTCAGCTTTCTAAATGTTCTACCTGATGAGCAGGGCCAAGTTGGGGAACCCAGGACCCCGTGGCCCAATCCCCAATCAACAAAGTGATTGTTGTGGGGCCAGAGAGGAAGAGCTCAGTATCACAAGGACCTTAGAACTCAATCTATGGATAGGTTTTCAATCAGGAATTGATCTCATTTCCAAAATTTCTACTCTTCCTCTACTCCCTAATAGACTGAGATTCAGAGAATTGGATGTCAGGGCTGGAAGGGATCTTGAACATGAAGCTGATATAACAGTCGGTCAATAGACATTTATTAAGCACCTACTATATGCCAGGCACTGTGCTAAGTGCTGGGGATAGAAAAAGAGGCAAAAGACAGTCCCTGCCCTCAAGAAGCTTATAACTAATGTGGGAGACAACATGAAAACAAATACATACAAAACAAGCTATATACAGGATAAATAGTAAATAATTAATGGAGGGAAAGATATAAGATTAAGAGGGGTTGGGGAAGGCTTTCTATAGAAGATGGGATTTTAATTGAGATTAAAGGAAGCTAGGGAGGTCAGTACATGGAAAGGAGGGAGAGCATTCTAGGCCTAGGGACAGCCAAAAAAAAATGCCCAGAGCACAGAGATGGAGGGTCTTGTTTGGGGGACAGCCAGGAGGCTAGGTTACTGGATTGAAGAGTACATCTTAGGGAGTAAGGTGTAAGGAGACTGGAAAGGTAGGAGGGGACTAGAAGGATGGCATTTCCTTTTATCGTAAAGTTAGGAGTCTGGGAGGGCTTACAGGAAAAGATGAGTTTGGTTTAGGACATATTACATTTCAGATATCTACTGGACATCCAGTTTGAGATGTCTGAAGGCAATTGGAGATGCAAGATTAGAGGTCAGCAGAGTGTTGGGGCAGGATAGGTAGATTTAAGAATCATCAGCATAGAGATGAATTAAATCCATGGGAACTGATGAGATCATCTAATGAAGCAGCACAGAGGGAAAAGAGAAGAGGGCCCAGGATAGAGCCCAAGGGGTGGGGGAGACCACATTCGGCTAGAGGGCAGGAACTGGATGAGGATCCAGAGTATCAAAGAAGTCAAGAGATCTGTCAATGGCTACTCTACAAGTCTAGGTCTAGGAAGTCTAGGAAGACCTAGGTTCAAGTGCTTGGTCCTGGGCAAATCATCTCCATGTTTTCATTTGTAAAACAGGTATATATACCATGTGTAAGGTATTTTGTAATCTTAAAATGATATATGGAACTGTGAGCTATCCTCTTTATTTTAACAGGATTTTATAACATGACAGACTCCTGTGCCTATAGAAATCTAGAGTATGGTTAAATTCCCCCAGAATTGCCAGGTTCATAGAAAGGCAAATTGAGTGTAAAGA